AGAGACTTAAAACCTGAAAACGTTTTGGTCTCCAACCAGCACTATTGCCAGAAAGACAAAGATACGTTTGCGCGCATCTATGCTAATTGCCCAATTGTCTGCAAAGTCACAGATTTTGGTTTCAGTAGATCCGTTTAAATAAGCAAACACAATCAATCCGCAGTGCAATCTCGGCCTTAAATGGGAGCTTAAATGTAGTTATTCATACCATTTTTTACTTCAATTTTGCAGAAAATTCCTTAATATTTACCACGTTCCACAAATCCAGCATTCCAGGGGCCCCTCTCTATTATTATACACCCCAGTAGTTATGTAGGTTAATTGAGGTCAATATTTGAGTTATCAGGGTTGTTAATAGTATCAGAATATCGTAAACGTATGTAGCTTTTTTATGACATAACACACGCCCTTCGTGAATATCATAGTTGAAGGGACTAGTGTGTATAATTTTTAAATAAATATAGTTTTACCAAGCTATACATACCTACCTAAAGAAAAAACTATTCAAAAACTTTTTTCCGCGTTTTACCCTCTTTTCCGCGTTTTACCCTCTTTTCCGCGTTTTACCCTCTTTTCCGCGTTTTACCCTCTTTTCCGCGTTTTACCCTCTTTTCCGCGTTTTACCCTCTTTTCAGCGTTTTACCCTCTTTTCCGGTTCCGTTTTTCCGGTTCCGCCATTCCGGTTCCGCCGGTCCGTTCCGTTCCGTTTCCGCGTTTTACCCCTACCCTGTTCGTTTAGTTATTTTAGTACAAAAATGTGCTCGCATGCGTAAGTAACCGGAACGAAACGAAGAGCGATTTTGTTCTTGTCCTGGTGAATTGTGCAAGGATACGCGGAGTTGAAAAGCGTTTGCGTGAAAACTACTATTCACCTCACGGGCAAGCTTTTATGCAGGCTCCTAAAAGAGGGCGACCAAATTTGGCACAGCGATCCCGTATTTTCCACATTACCTCTGATTGGAGAGCTGTACCTCATCGAAAATCATCGGCACAACTATGGACAGTATCTGACGACACCGTCCCGTACACATTCGAACAATTACTTTGCCAGTTTTTATTCCGCAATCTTGAACATTTCAATTGTTGGGTAAAATTCGGTTTATGTGCATGCGTAAAAAGAATGAACACGGAGATGTGTTTCTGCGCGTACGTATATATGAAAAGTGTTCATCCCACAATTATAACGCAATCAAACCGCATTCAAAACAGACCAACGCACCACGCGCGATACCTCGGTCACAGCTCGGTGATCATAATATTATAAACTAATAACATGACTAGTTGGGAAATAAGCGCTTAAATTGCCCGTCGCCTCGGGAAGATTTGTGAAAGTCCTCGGGCTTCGCCCTCGAACTTTCACAAATCTTCCCTCGGCGTCGGGCAATTTAATCGCTAATTTCCCTCTAGTCATGTTATTACTTATAAATAATTTCCCTTTCCCCAGAATTTGGGCGTCCAAAGGCGTCTGGACGCTAGAACATTCTGGGATACGATGTTAGTAATGTTTTTAGAGGACTACAAATGTTTTATTTATTAACATATTGTTCAGCATATCGGTTACCACAGATAATTCTCAAAACACAGATGTAGTAATTATATATGCAGTAAATAAATTGTTACTGAACTTTAAGTAATAAAACACGTTGGTCAAATTTAGCAAAATTTCTCCCACTCGTGCGGGCTCGCATTGCCAGTGGACATCTTACAGAAAGTGGCCAGTTCTTTGAAAAATGGAAAGGTTTCAACTTTTCACTGCAAGTCCGCTGAAAATGCGAGCCTGCGGTACTGGGAGAAAATTTGCTGAATATGACCAGCGTGAAAATACTCGATCATGTGATATTTTCATTGGATTTTGAACTCAAACGTTTTCGCGGCTAGGCTGCAGTATTTATGCCATCGACGTTCCTTCTCCGAGTCGTTATAATCTTTTTATAATTTTTTTGTTTAATTTAGATGAAACTCAGAATACCTTCTCGCCAGTAGATATTAATAGACGAATAACAAAGATAGTCAGCCGAGCTACTATGCAGAATGATGCCTATTGGAGGGTTTCTTTTGAAGAGGGCGTCGATCCATTAGACGTTAATGACGGCGCACTTCCACAGTTTGGAGATGACAATCATGGATTTCTTGGTCTCAAGCTAGTTCATACACAGTGGCGTTACGATTTTGGCTTCGGAACTCCATCATGTATGTTGTTCACTCGTATTTACTGGGCATTTGAAAACTAGAGCAAATAGTTTGATAACATATATATCTTTGTTTTATGGTAATAAGAAATTATTTTTCTTTCTAAAACTTTACCCATGCAAGACCGTCGCGAAGGGATTTAAGTGTAAGTGTGTTTGTATGTGTGTGTGAGTGTGTGTGTGTATGTGTATGGGGGGGGTATCTGGGTGTGATCAGTTTAAGTCAATTATTCAATTACATGTAATTCTGGAATTGGACATATCATTACTCTGACAAGAATCATGAACTTTTTCAAAGAGAATAACATGTTTCTGTGTTTTAACTAGGCAATATAAACACATAAAGCACATCGATGCAAAGTGCCAAGCGGGGCTGAATTGTCCAAAATGAATAATAATATACTGTTATTTTAACACTGTAATTAACCATCTCACATTATAAGTACATCATGTTGAGTTATGAGTGGTTTAAATGAAACGCACACAAAACAAGTACGTTATATAATTTTATTACTGAAATCCAGACTGAAATGTGTATCACTGGATTTATTAAGATATTGTGTTAATTGTCTTCGACAAAATTCATGCTTGTTGTCTTTGTTTCACGGTTGGCATTAGTTGACAGCCGTGAAGTCGTAAAACTTGCTCTGACCTTGTTTCCATTTTCAGTAAAATCCCCAAACGTGTACTCTTTGCCAACTGATATACTGCTTGCATTTTCGATACTATTTTTTCCCTTCGTTTCGTGAGCCTTTCTGCACATTATGTTCTCATATAGCCGGGTGCATGGCTTTATTTACTTATAGACTTTGCTTGTGACGCCCGTATTCTAAAAGCTCACTCACATGCACTGACACTCAATGAGTGGAGGTTCAATCTGAGCTTCTCTTGAGTGTCAATGCTGTTTTTGAATAGCTGAAGGGTTAGTGTCGTACCTTGGTATGTGACTACTCACCCTCCAGCTATTCAAAAACAGCGTTGACACTCAAGAAAAGTTCAGAATGAACCCGCACTCATCGAGTGTGACTGTAGGCCCGTTTACACTATATAAAATTTAGGAACGGCACGGCAAAAAATCGGAATGGTTCCGCTTCTGCCAGTAAAGGAATGCTATGTTTACACTGGTTAATTTAAAAGCTTGAAAATCGGACTGCTTCCGAAATTTTGATAAGTGGGAACGGTACGGGTAATTTGTATACTGAGCATGCGTATTAATAGGAACCAAGATGGCGGAGGTTTCATCATCGAGTCGAGATCTATTAGTTTTACTTGCTTTATTGCGGCCAATCTCGTTCCCCGAGCATGCCCGTTCGCAGGTTAAGGGTGGGCCTAGCTCTGGAGAAATCGAATTGATTCACGTTGAATTTCCAACGTGAGTTCTACGCATGCTCGGCAATTGTTGCAAAATATAAATAAAGTATTTAGAATTTCGCGTCGAAAATTTGATACTTTTTACACTGAAATGGAATTGAAAACAACTAAAAATTCTGGGGGAAATATGTACGAAAGCTTCGGTTGGATATTGATACAACTACCTGAAAAATACAAGGAGAACTTCGACGTTTCGAGCGAACGCGTTTCGATTTGTACTGTTAGTGTTTGTATACATCGTACTTGACCTTTGCTGATAAACATCATCACCTCAACAACTCATAAGTATTATATATTTTTATGCTTTAAAATTTACATTTAACTCTCCTGTCAGAATTTATGGTATACGTAGTGTTAGGTATGACAGTATAAAAGGTCAAGTATGAAACACTAACAGCACAAGTCGAAGCGCCTTCGCTCGAAACGTCGAAGTTCTCCCTGTATTTTTCAGGTAGTTGTATCCTTATCAATCCGAAGCTTTCGTACATATTTCCCCCAGAATTTTTAGTTGTTTTCAATCGATATCGATTTCAGTGTAAAAAGTATCACATTTTCGACGAGAAATTCAAATACTTTGTTTATATTTTGCAGCTATTGCCAATCACGTTGAAACTCCAACGTACTATCTGGCGCAGAGTATCTGCCGTTAGCCAATCACAGACCTGAATCAATTCGATTTCTCCAGAGCTATGCCCACCCTTAACCTGCGAACGGGCATGCTCGGGGAACGAGATTGTATTGCCGCAGAAATCAACAATCTCAAATTGCATAAAGTATAAATATAGAATATTCAAAAGTATTTAAGGGGCCATTCACAAAGGATGTCCGACCCGAGGGGGGGGGGGATTGGAAAATCAGGACAAAGTCGGACATAGGCGGGGGGGTTAGCAATCCGGATGTCCGAAATTTAAAAAAGTTCAAAAACAAATTTCTTTTTCCCTCTCTTTTGAGCAGTCCTTCCCATTGTGAAATTGGCATTTTGACTATGCGGTTAACACTAGATTTTGTTTTAATTAGTAATTTATATGTTTTTGTTTTCACATTTACAGTTATAAAAAAGTTCTAAAAGTAAAAAAAGTTTTTTTACTCTTGATATATACAAGGTGCGTGAGTTTTTGCGAGGCATGGCGGATGTCCGGGGGGAGGGGTGGTGGTCACTAATTCGGACAATGCCGGACAACGGGGGAGGGGGGGGGGTCTGAAAATCCATCACTTGGCCGGACATCCTTTGTGAATGGCCCCTAAATGTATTATATTAATACAGAAACCTACCATTAGCGACTGGTATATCGCCCTAGTTTGTTTACTGGACTTGCTGCTATCTAAGGAAAGCTGTATACTTTCTTCTCCCCATAAATTAATCAAATCCATCGTTGCAATATCCCAGTATGGAATGTAACTTTTTCGTGCACCGGACAAGCAAGTTGATAATTTTTTGTGTGCACCATTGGTTGTCTAACCGGCCAAAAATTTGTGCGCCGATTGCCAAAGGCACGAGACAAGCTCCGAAGCATAGACCGATTTTGTGGGGGGCGCAGGGGGGTGCTACCTCCTCCCCAATATTAGCTATAACCCCCTCAAACAAAATGTCCACCCCTCTAAAAAAATTCCACCCCCCCAATATTCGGCATAATAAAAAATAATTAAATAGTCCACTCCAACGTGCAGAGTGTTGATGGTACAAAATAAACGTAGGAGTACACTCAAATAAAAAAAGACAGTGCAAAACTGTGAAACTAATCGCTCCTCGCTTGCATTCACTGGTTTATTGGAGCAATTGTAAAGTTTTGAAACTCTATTATCTCCCCTGAATAGAGTTTGTAGTGCCTTGTCATGCAAAAAGCTTGCTTGCATAGAACGTTTGCAATTTTTGCGAACATTATTTTTAGTTTTTAATTCTTTTAGGAAATAGACTTGCCTAGATTTAATCTTTACGCCCCAAATATTATTTACATCAGAGTTGCATCATAAATTGTACTCGGATTCAAACGACACGTACAATGTTAATGACTTTATAAAAGTAAGAGCATATTGTGTATTGGCCTATTGGGTTTACACTTTTACAGGTTCATTTAACTTTAACTCTCTCAAGTCTCAACAGACAATCGGACATGCCAAATCCATTGATATAACACTCTTCAAAGAACTTTTTTTCGAAGCTTGAAATCACGATTTTTTTCAAATTTTTCCAGGGATACTTTGTTTTCTGCTCTCTAGACTCCCCCTCGTGGCTTTAGTGCTCCACCCCTAGAATATAGACCTCTTACTGGGGTTTGGTGACACTTTGTGTTGCTTCAGTCACCTACTCACGGCTCACCCCCCTAAAATTTCTGGCACCACCCCAGTAAAAAATATGAAAATCCGTCTATGCTCCGAAGGGCGAGATACCTCGGGGTGGAGGGGGGGGGGTGTAGGATCATCCACTCCCGAGAAATTTTTAAATTTAAAGTCCCTGAAATGCCATTTCCTGGACTTTGGCAGAAGATTTTACACAATTCTGATGGTCAGAAAACAACATTATAAAATCGAAATTTTTCTCAGAAAGCTTTCGAAATATTATTCGACTCAAACGCCCGTAATCTAAGAGCTCACTCACACTCAATGAGTGGAGGTTCAACTTAGCTTCTCTCGAGTGTCATTGCTGTTTTTGAATAGCTGGAGGGTTAGTGTCATACCTTACTATGTGGCTACTCACCCTCCAGCTATTAAAAAACAGCATTGACACTCAAGAGAAGCTAAGATTGAACCTCCACTCATCGAGTGTGAGTGAGCTTTTAGAATTACAGGCGAAAGTTTCAAGTGGTCAGCAGTATTTCAAAGTACTTCATTTAGTTTATGTTATATTGGATCCTCGATCCATAGATCAAAAGGGAATATATTGTCCAAAGCGGCAAAACCTACCCCGCTCAGGTCTACACATTTCCAGAAATAGGTTTTACCAACTTTTGCCGTTAAATCTATTTGACAAATTAATATTGGGAATCCTGAATTATGCACCAGTGCGCCACCTTTAGTTAACTTGTTATGTGTGCACCACCTGTGCACCACATATTAATATTGTAAAATTTTGTGCACCAGATTGTGCACCAATGAAGGGTGTTGTGCTCCGGACATGTCCGGTGCACACCACTTACATTCCATACTGGGCAATATCTGACCATCGCCGCGAATTCTTTTTTGTACTTTTGGCAGCCATCTTGGAATTCGTTCACAAGCATGCGCATGCAAGATTTATTCCGCGTGAAAGGCTGGGGCTAGTAAAAAACAGGAACGGTTCCGCTTGTTTTTGGGCATGGGACCACCTAAAACGGTGGTCGTAAAATGCTTGGAAAGTGAGGCACCGTACCGAAAATTCAAGAAAGAACGGCATGTTTACATTGACAAAATTAGCCTACCTGTTCCGAGTAAAGACAGGAACCGTTTCGATTTTTTGCCGTCCCGTTCCCAATCTTCAGTCTAGTGTAAACGGGGTTTGTGTGAGTGAGTTTTTAGAATACGGGCGTAAGTAAATGAAGTCTTAAGCTTTCGTATCCCAGAAATTAGTTTTTGGTCGTTTTCAATTAATAGGTTTTCCAGATATTTATTGTTGTTATAATTTGCCCTAAATTAGCGTATTATGAATGCACATTGAAAATTTATACAAAAAATGTCCGGGCTGTGTGAAGCAGTGATTTTTTTAGCATATAGTAATTTCTTGTTAATATCCTTCGTTTTGATTTTCATGTTTTCCAGACAGAAGCGTTAGACTGAAAGCATGGGAAGGCTTGCCTTCTGGTAGTGATGACAAGCCACCAGTTGAAGTAAAGAATATTTTATCACCAGTTTTTATCCAGGCGGCGGAGGCCATTAAGGCTTGGATTTGTTACCCATCAGTCTCTGTTCTTAGAGGGGAAATAATGACACCAAACTCACAGTATGATTGCAGAATAAAATTAAGGGCTGGTATGTTATTTCGGATAAAACTTATATTAACTAACATTGTATTGAGAATTATATGAATACACTTACTTATAATTACCACTGGACAGTTTAAAATGTAGTGAGGCGCGTTTCAAACGTCGAACTTCTCATCTGATCTGCCGAATCTAACGTAAGAATGCACTAAATTCTAAATATATATTTTGTTTAAACTCATGACTGTTGATTCAGCACATGTCTGAAACGTTCTACGTTTCAAAGAGCCCAAATGCGTACCGTCTACCGCGGTATTCTAAATGGAAAGTTTATAGTTTTAAATGTCAACGTATACAGTTCCAAGGTTGAACAATATATCTCATATTAAATTACTTTAATTAATTAATCTTCACCAGTAAATATCCTGGGAAGAAACCTGGCAGTATTCCTGCAAATTAAGGGTAGTAGGCCTATACACTTAGTCGAACGCGTGGCCATCTTAAAAATGTTCATTTTCGGAGCTACTGTACCGTAATATTATACTTCACTTGACGGACAATGTCGTACTTTTTGCTAATATAACTGAATGAGGAATATTGAAGGTTTTTCTTGTGTGTTGGTGTTGTGTACTCAGGTGAATATGATGTTTGTGATGTTACTCTGAGTATGCATCCACACTGGACAAGCTGAAAAGTTTGCTTGGCCACGGTGGGAATCGAACCGGCGACCTTTGGGATACTAGTCCAATGCTCTGCCAACTGAGCTACGTGGTCAAGTCGGTCAGAGCATTGGACTAGTATACCAAAGGTCGCGGGTTCGATTCCCACCGTGGCCAAGCAAACTTTTCAGCTTGGCCCGGCGTGGATGCACACTCAGAGTAACATCACAAACATAATATTGAAGTTGTTTCCACAAAAAATCCAGTAAAAATCTTGTGTTGATATAGGTTCCCGTTATGTGACCGACAAAGATAGTGTATGTATTGAAGAAGACGCAATTCTATCGGATTATCTTTCCAACTGCAAATTTGATAGGCAGAACCATCATATGTATTTACCGGATGAAAACGAGCATCAAATTCCGGAAGGTTTTGACTGCACTTTTTACCGCGAGGCGAAAGAAAGAATGTTTCAAGCTACCGTTGATGAAGAGAGTTTTACTGTTATTGTGTTGGATGAAAAGGGATGGGATACAGACTCATCAGATAAAAGACATCAGGAACAGGTTTGTATGCTAGGTTTGTATACAGGTTTGTTTAATTTATGATTGGCATTTGTCATTGTCTTTAATTAAATAAAATAAAACAAAATTACGAGTCTACATGTATAGAAACCTTAGACACATGCAGGCTGACTTTAATTTAACGTCTTGTCAGCGGTTGCAAAGATGAACTATTACGTACGTACAATAAGAATATGTGAAAACTGAAGAAGAAAAAATGCGAATAAATTTCATCCCGAGACGAATTTCACCCCGTGTTTACATAAGATTCTGTACTGACGTACTTATCCAAATGGTAAATTCGTATTTCTTTGTTTTAGTTTGGTATAAGGGTTGTAATGAATTCGTGGTCCGAAGCACTCCTTTCAGCTGAACGACACTGGACGCCTGAGGAAATACTGGGCAAACTAAAGAATTATATGGGGTTTTTATCTTTACTTAAAAATTACTTTTTCGATGGCTAGTTAGCCTGCGAACAGGCTCACTGGGAGAAAGGTGAGCCTGCACGGAACCATGCGTTTTATTCAATCATCCCCTTTTCGCATCTGCTAAACGCTAACCAATCAGCGTTGACTGCGATAAATAAACTGTCAACTGTCAAATTGACGCAAGGCGTGTACATTGTGCAACATGAACAATAATACAAAACATTAGCGGGCCGCACAATATATTACTCGGAAAATATAGAATTCAAATATTAAATAGATATCAATAAACATACAAATATAAAGCCGAATAAAATACTACCATTGGCTTTGAATGTACAGTAATACCATAGATATCTCGAGTAATACTTGTACTATGTGCGACTGAAAGAAGATCGTGACTAAAACACCACACGAGTACATACGAGTAACATACGAGTAACACACAAGTACATACGAGTAACATACGAGTACATACGAGTAACATACGAGTACATACGAGTACATACGAGTAACACACGAGTAACATACAAGTACACACGAGTAACATACGAGTACACACGAGTAACATACGAGTAAATACGAGTACATACGAGTAAAATACGAGTACATACGAGTAAAATACGAGAATTAGCACGCTTTCTTTAAAGTTTTTTTCACTTTCACACTTTCACTTTGGCTTCGTATTATGTTCATGTTGTAAATGCCTCATTGACATAGGCGTACGAGACAGGGGGGCGGGGGGGGGGGGCAACTGCCCCCCAAAATTTTGGAAAACCATGGAAATTCAAGCAAACGCTAGGAAAAATCAAGAAAATTCGGGCAGATTTATGAGAAAATATGTTAAAATCAGGTTATATTTCTTTACAATTCTCCATAAAAATTCAGGCAAACTTTCAACTGCCCCCTCCCCCCCCCCAGAAAACATCAGCCCCGTTCTCCTATGCGTATTGATGGATTTCGAAGCCTCGTACCACGTAGAAAAAGTAATTCATTAATATAGAATAAAGATTTGTATGTTCTAAGACTCTAAAAAGGTTTAAATGTAGTATATTGCTCACAGGCTGTCAGAGAGTTTTTGTAGCACATGAAAGTGCATGTTTGCCATGTTGTTTATACGTCTGTAGTCTATGTGTTTTGCAAATTTAATACGTGAATTGTACACCGGGAAATATAAAATACTTAGGGTTCATTATTTATCGGTTGGGGAGGGGGGAAGGAGCTGTTGGATTCTAAAATTCAAACAACATAATAAAAATGACCCTCCCTTTTAATGTGTTTAAAAATGTAGTCCACCCCTTTAGAACAGTCTGAAAATTTTTCACCCCCCTCCAACAATAAAGTTAAGAAGAACATAGTATGGCCGTATGGTAGTTCTTCCCATCCTATTCTTGTGTGCTCTTTAATTACAACCAGGGGCGTAGAGAGGACCTTCAACTTGGGGATGCTGGACAGGATTTAGCCAACGGGGAGGGGGGTGAAATAAAATCCAAATCCACAATATAATTGTGTATAATCTTGTCTAAGTAAGTACATATATGGCCTCAAGAAGAAAGGGTTTACTTTGGGTTTTTAAATGTAAAATATATTTACTTTCAATCATCATTCGGTTTTAAAAGTAATTCGCTGTATTTTAACCCATCATTTTCCATCACGAAAAATCATGTCTTTTATGCATTATACAGTCTTCGGACTTATGCAAATTCAAACCCCGAAAATGCAGGAAATCACATTTCAGGGACTCTAGATTTCAAAATATTCTGGGGGAGCATGCCCCCAGACCTCCCCTAAAATGGCTTACGCCGGCTACGCCACTATCTCTCTACTATCTTCTTTTAATCAATGCTATAAAATTTTATTGTCTCCCCAAAACCATTCTTTTTATTTTACACCCATAAAAGATATCCCCCCCCCCA